AGGGAAAGATGTATTTGTACATTCAAAAAATAAGTGCACTAATTTTAAACAGGTGTATTTGTCTTTTTTTAGAGGCTTATAATGCAGATTCTCAGAAGTGTGTCTTAAATACATGTACACCAATTAAATGTTAAACATGAAAGCACGTACTCAGAAATAAAAGTATAATATGTATACTGATATTTGTATCTATGATAAAAATACTTAACTCTTCTGTTATCTGCAAGATATTTCCAATGTCATGTGTTTTTTTCCTAAATAAAGAAGGCAAAGGAATATGATACTTTCCGTATTTTTATTCTCCAAATATCAATCAAGTATGGCAAAGTAGGAAAGAAAAATCTTCAAGTAGTGCAATGATTTCCTATGTATCTTTCACATGTTTTCAGTTAGGCTTTGTGAGCCAAGAACAAAAATATGTACCTCCAGGCTGTTTATTTTTTAAAAAAATATTTAAGTATGTATGTCTACACGAAGGAGAGTTGCAGAGTATATGCAAATGAGCACATGGAAAATGTTCCTAGGTGGACACTAAACAAAGCTATAAATTTGTAGCTAGGACAAACCTTTATGTAATAAGAGGTAATTTAAAAGCTGCTAATGGAGAAGGAGTGAGAGGGATACAGAGAGAAAGGTGATCTGTATCACTCTTAGATTGCTGACTAGCAAATTAACAACTGGCTCAAACAAGAATGTTTCAGAATTCTTACGTGGCCATGTACTTTTTACCTCTGCCTTCCAAAACCTGGGGAAAATGTACAGTAACAATGAAAAAATGTTAAATTAAACAGTCAAATTATTGTTCACAGACTAGCATTACCCAGTAAATATATCATGTCTAGCAAGCATGAGTACTTTAATTCACAAGCTTGACCCTATTATAAGAATTTCTGAGTAAGGTCTCTTCTCCTTGGAGAAGAGAATGCTCAGTGGGGACCTCATCACAGTATTCTGATACTTAAAGGGCGGCTACAAAGAGGACAGAGGCTCTCTCTTCACAGGGAGAAGACAAGGGGCAACAGGTACAACTTGCACTAGGTGAGGCTTCATCTTGATACAAGAAAGAAATTTTTTACAGTAAGAACAATCAGTCACTGGAACAACCTCCCCAGGGACATGGTAGAGTCCCGATCCTGGAGGTTTTCAAGATGGAACTGGACAGGGTGCTAGGTAATCTCATCTAGGCTCCTTTTTCCATGAAAAGTTGGACCAGGTGATCTTGTGGTGTCCCTTCCAGCCTAGGCTGTTTTATGATGCTATGGTTTTTCTACAAGCACCAACAAAACTATGCAAACGTTGAATAATCATCTGAAGTTTTCTTCTCTGTCTTTATATCTGCAACATCAAATTTTGCCCTTTGTTCTACCTTAGCTTTTACATATCAACACCACCAACTTTTTAATATTTTAATTAAATTTCTCTACCTTTCCTATATTTATACTTCCAACAAATTTTGCTTTTTCTTTATCTACGTTTCCCATTTTCTGTAGGTTTCTGTACTTCTGCATAATGCCATCTCTTAATGAACCTTACTATTGGATGTGTTTTCAGATCTAAAATTCCATTTCCCCAAGCAATAACGGATGTCATAATTTCAGTTCATATCAAAGCCAGAATAGCTGTCATGTTTTGGAGAGAGACTCCTTTGGAGAAGAGAGTCAGAAATAAAAGAATTATTTGCTGATATCAGTTCCCTCTAATAGTTTTTAGGTCACTGAATGTCCATTTATTCAGAAATATTTCCTTTGGTTGCTTCTGAAGTGTCTTCTTACTCCCTAAAGTATTTCTGCTGCATACAAATTGTTTGGTAGGAACTATATCATGCAATCAGAATAAACGGGTTGCAGCACTGTTCCTGAAACTATTTCCTAGAGCTACATAAAAATATGACAGACCTTACATAGCCAATCTCCATGATCCAAGACAACTCATCCTTTACTCTGAAGACACCCGATCCTACCTGCCTAGAGAGCGACGCTGCAGTAGTGTATTGTGTGGCGACACTGACATCTAGTGGGCTCGAACAACAATTTCAGTTTTCCCAAATGTTCCAAATACCGATTTAGATCAAAGCATCTTTCTCTGGGATACGCTGACCTTAGTATAAATGCATATTTAAAAGTACAATCGAATATGGATAGTCGAATATTGAATTTCGTACTTAACGCTGGCTCTTACTATAGGAGCACGAAGAAGATTTATTTGAATTAGGAGCTTCAGTTTACTGAGCTCTGTCTATAGTAAAAGCTCTGAAGAACTCAGTTCAAGTGACACAGGATTCACCACTTGTCCAAACATCTCTGCAAAAGACAGACAAAATTTACTCTTTCATGCTTCCTGACAAGCAAGTGCAAAATGACAGGATAAGACTGTTCAACTCATTTCAATGATTATGTTTACACTAACAGTATGTATGTTCAAAAGCTATGTGGGCTGGTGTCCCAGGCGCTGACGCAACTGCTGTGTGCCAGTTCAGACGAGCTAGAAAAGATGCAATAGTTAGTCAAAACCATATAAACTTTGTTCCTCAATATGTTCTTCCCATGCTCTTAAAAGAATTTCAGTTTCCAGCTTCTCACACAGACCTCACAGTGTTCCACAGAGAAGATAAGTTTAATTATTCCTTTGCCACATGTGGAGAAACTGTAGTACCATGTGATAAAGTGACTTTCTCACAGTCATCAGCAGGGAAGTGGTACAGCTGCAATTAAACCTCCAGTCATTAAACTATCATTGCACAGTAAAAGGAAGAAACCCCCAATTTTTAATTTTTATTTCAATAGGGGCCAGTTATCGCCTATAGAATTTTCCATACAATCTTCCTCCAAGGATAAGATAGACAGCTTCTTCTAAGACAGACAGCTGGGGTGTGGGACCAAATTAATATCCTGCCTGGGTATCAAACTAACCCACTATGGCTCCAGGAAGTATGATACTGAAAGGACAAAGATCACAAAAATAATACATGATTTACCTACTCCAGTTCCCTGACGTTCCAGGACTTCTGCCTACTGAATGTTTTGCCAATTGCTGCTTGCAGTCCTAGTACAATTCCAGTTTAAGCATTTTGGGGAAGTACAGCAACAGCTGCTGTAAGGATCAGTGGAAGAGTGCACTAACGTGAAAAGGAGCATTAATTCTCACTCGGATAGCTGTAGTTTCTGAGAGGAAGTGTGCTGTTGAGAACAGCTGCTTTCTGGTTCTGTCAAATCCAGTCCCCAGATTTTTCATGAAAGCCTGATTGTACACAGGCCAGACAGCTGGCACTACTGATTTTATAATCTTTGCCTGGTTATTATCAAGCTAAGCTCACAGTTGTTAATGTTGGCACAGAAGCTATAGACTCACACACAAACAAACGTTCTTACGTATTTTAGTATAACAAGCTTTGACTATTAGAGGTAAAATTTAATAATGTTTATTTAAAATGACACGTTCTACTCCTTTTATTATTATGTGTTTTCACTGCATTAATAAATGTTAAATCATATTTACCTTTAGATTTTCATGCACGTCTTTTTTGAAAAACTGGTTCCAGGATTGCTGCTATTCTTCAAAGTATTAGTTGGACTTCTGCAGAGTTGTGACTGCTAACACATTGCCAGAACTCTTCATTTCCTGCTGTTTAACTGCATTAAAAGACAACACAAATACATAAATATTCATGAAATGTGTTTTATGCAAATATATGCTGTGGTTACAGGATCAGGAGTAGGAACGGGAATGGTGGATATACACACAGTGACACAAGATGTGACCCAAATAACTCTATGTATTATAGAACTAAATATGTATGAATTCCAACATGGGTACTACATTACCGGGATTACACATACTGCCAAAATACATTCCTTTATTTATTTTACCATGTTTTCACAGTGACATAAACTGACTTATGGAGGCATTTTTGGGTTGTCTTTGTTAAATCTTTGACTCCAAAGCCTTGGGTTTAAACATTACCTTCCCATAAAGTCAGAAAGCAGTACTGGGAGTCAGCTTAAAAGCAATGAACTTATAAACTATTATTCTTTATATAAAAATATTTTATTTTCTTAATTATATGATAAATCTTTATACTAATAGAATTTTGGTTGGTTGGTTTGGGTTTTTTTTGGTGTCAGTGTTTAAGGATATGGTCCAAGAGTTGTTAGCATCAAGGAAAGAATACTGGAAGTGCTCTCAATGGATACAGTAGATATTGGTAAGTGGTATTCAAAGGATTGCTTTAAAATTCAAATATTTTAGGACAATCATACATTCCTTAAAATTAAAGCACACCTTAATGGCAAGGTCAACAAACAAAATAAAAATTGACAGTATTGACCAAGCCATTCTGAACCATACTAAACTGTGCTAAACCTACAATTTTTATGCTCAAGATTCCGTACACTTTCAATGCTTTTGATTTTCATCAAGCTTTTCAAGAAAAGTCTAATGACAAGAAATAAAATCTTAAGATTAATTTCTTCATAGATAAGCCTGACAGAAGGAAAGTTAATGCAGAGTTAGTAACAGCAATCGTGCAGCAGCAGCTAGTTATTGAACCTACAGATCTTAGTCTTCTTGCCCTATTTTACAGTGTATTCAAATGTAATACTTTGCTGCAAAACTTCACAGCTACATGATCAAGATTCAGATAGACAAATGTAATGATCGAGAGAGATATAAAGGGCTAGAACTACAGCAGTTCTAACTATTGGTGTTATTTGTCTTCCACTTCTGGAAATCTTAAGCAGAAATCCTCAAAGCCCTCACTCAAATTATTGCCAAGTGACAGTACTAATGTTCTCTATATAAATTCTACTTCTGATCATAGGCAGGGATGCTCCAGGGTCTGCTTATATCCAACAGTACAATGCTGTAAAAGGTTATTTCTTGGTTTTGGACATGTTATAAGCAAGGCTGAA